ATTATTTATAGAATTTGGTCTGGCTCATCATAGCAGCACAAAAACCTACACCTCAGCTCAGCTCTCCCCCATCTCTAGTTCTCACCCTCAGCTACTTCTCTCATAACTTGCTCCTTCTTAGGGAAAAGGCCACGTACACCATTTTCAGCCATTGTCTTTTACCCCCCTTTCCTCAGCTCCTGAAGGAAGATCAGCAAACCCAGAAAGAATGCTTCCAAGAAACCGAATCTTCATCAACCGGACTGCGCTTCACGGGGATTTCAGGGGTTCCACCCTTCACCTAGCTACCTGCCAACCAAAATGCTGGAGGAAACAAAGTCCAGCATTTGCACTAGGAGAGTGTGGGCCTTTAATCTCTAATGTGCCCTATCCACTAGAGCGGGCAATGAACATGCTACAGCAGCCAGCTAGGGGACCATGGTTCGGTTTTCAAAGAGGCCAGTGTACCAGGCCTAGACTGGAATTTTGCAGGTCAGGTCTAATGCCAGTTCTTATAAACACTTCCTGGTTGTAAGCACCACTTGATGTGCTTTAAGGACACCGCTATCCTGAAATCCTCCACATGTCATGCATGGCAGTGCTTGGCAGAGGTTCAGGTTCAGAGTTCATCAAAAGCAGCTGCTCTTTCAGCAGCCACAAGGGAAGCCAAAAGCAGCAAGATAACTAAGCTTAAAGTGAAGGTCTTTCATTGCTTCCATATTCTGCAGTTAATGCTGCAGCCTGGGTGTTCATTTCACTAATTTGTCCCATGTGGGAAAGACAACCATCCCTGGCTATGTTCAGGAATCTGACCCCGTATAGTTGAGATATTGACTCAGGGGAGACATTTTGAATTTAGGCATTTTATTTAATAATATAGTCCTCACCCAATTATGGGCCTAATTACATACCTAAGAAAATGTTGTACTAGCCCCTGCATTGTCATCTGCCATGTGCTAATCCCATACCTCTCTACTGCTTTCAGCTGTCCACACCCCCCAAAGTGTTCTACAGGGTACAAGTGAGGGACGGTTGTAGGGACTGATACTGAATTGAGGAGAGGAAAACACTTTTAGGGGTGGTAGGACACCATCCCGTAGAAAAGAATAAGTGCTAAAGAAGTGGAGGGGAATGACTGCGAGTAATAAACAGAGAAGAAGCCCAACCTCCTTGGGAAGAAGATATTCTGCTTTGTATTTAAAGTTAGTTTGATCCTTTGTCAGCCCAATTGGTTTTGACAGGGCCCAGATGGGAACAGTTCATGAACATACAAAAAAGAGAAATCATTCAGCAAGAGGCAAAGCTGACCTGGCAGGAGGTCAAACTGTGAGGCTGCAGATCTTCTGGAACAGATGTGTGTGTGTGTGAGATAACGTTCTGGGAACTGTACAAAGCGGGAGTGTTTGGGGCACCTATTTGTGTGCCTAGGAGAAGGAGAAAGAAATAGGGTTTTCTTATGGCTGCACTCAAGGGAAAGGGGTATTTGGGCATCCCAATGCAATCGGAGGGCCCAAACGCAAGAGTTGGGCAGGTGATTTGTGTACTCAGTTTAAAAAATTGGAACCACTACCTCACTATTATTAGGATTATATGAGATAAGTGCCTAACACAAGGTGACCCTTTATAAACACCTAAGAGGCAGTTCCAAGCCCCAAAGAGCTTACAGTCCAAAGAGACAGAGAACGGTGTAGTGCCTTGGTCATAGTCACCCAGCAGGGTAGTAGCCAAGCTGGGAATGGAATCCAGGACTCCGGACTCCTAGTCCAGTGCATTATCCACTCCACTGCACTGTGCCCAAAACATTTTTGCTGAACAGATTCCACCCTCGGGCAATGGCAGAACCTTAACTGACCTGTGCTCATTACATTGCATTCCCAGGCCAGGATGTTTCTTTGGTTGGCCACTTTATTTCCCTTTTAAAAAGTATTCTTCTATCACTAAAAGTAGGAATACAGAATGTCATTACAAACGTAAAGCCTGAGGTCAAATTAAGGCTAGGAAGAAGAGAGTTAAATGGCAGCCATTTCATCCGTGACACATCAGTGCCATCTGGCTATTCCAGCCTGGCTTGTGCAGCCCGGAGGGTCACACAGTCTTCTCCTCTTAGGGATATTGCAAGGATCTCATGAAGGCTGCCTCATCGTCCTGAATTCCCTGCTCTGTTGGTTCAATTCAGCCAGACCCTTACAGGAGACGGTGTAATCTCAGAATTTAACCATTACAATTATCGTTTGGTGGGGAGGGTCTTCAAAATTCTGCATGTCCAGTTTTATTTGCAATTACACCCTACTCTCCCTAACCCCCTATTCCCCTCAACTACAACAACACCCAAACAAACAGCCCCAGTAAAAAGAACAACACAACAACAACAAAAACAAAAACAAAAACCCACCCCAAACAAAAAGAACACAACAAAAGTCGCCAACGAGCCTGATCCAAAGTCCATTCAAGTTAATGGCAAGACTCCCATTGACTTCAAGCCCGAAACTTGTAGGGCCTATGCTAAAACCAGGACATGGTAACATGAAGAAGATGATGCTTTAGCGCAGACTAGATGGGCGCACAGTTTGTAGGCAAACACCCACCACACTTTTCTCCTATGATTTTCCTAAGTAACAGTATCTTACAAAAAAGTAAATAGGCAGGAGGGGACAAGTGGGGCTTTCCTATAAAGCGCCAGATTGTGTCCCCCCCTTTACACCCATAGGCCCATTAGGGAGGTGTAAACAAGGGCACAATCTGGCTTGTGATTTTGACAAAGACCATGCTTTTCCTCGAAATGAATCAAAACAAACCGGCTCAGGAAACCTGTAAGTAAGACTACGCTCCACACTATACTCCTTCCTCAGGGTCCCCAGGGCCTCCCCTAGCCCTCGAGCTTTGCACTCGTGGTTACGCCGACGCCAGTGGACTCTCCAGGGTGGCGCATGTGCCGCTGAACTTCTTGCACCATCTCTTCTGTGACAAACATACAGCCAGCCAGCCAGTTCTTTCCATTCCAGCCTACAAGACGCTCCCCCCCGAAGCAGGCCCCCTCCAAAGCTCCGGGCACCCTTACATACATTTGAAAACACAGTAACATCAGGGTTACAAAGTATAAAGCTGCCCAGGGCACCTCCCACCTAGCACACCTCATTCTGCCATTAGCTAGGTGACTAAAACTCTCCCTGTGCCTTCCCACCAGCCAGAAATCCCTCTTGCAGCTGCCGTGGCCCTCTGCCAATGGCTGCTCAGACAGAGGCCTGGCAGTCTGCCTGGATGGGCAACAAATGTGGGCATTTCAGATGCTGGGTTTGGGGGGAGACTGTTCCAGAGGAAAACAAACCTTACAGGGAACTTTCTGCCAGCAGCCCCCTCCCCTTTATAATAGGGCAGGGCTCCAGCTCCTTTGCTGGTGGCTAACATGGTATTAGGGCAGCTTTGTGCTGAGAATCCATACTCATAAGGGCCTACCTAGACTGTAAATCCAACTCAAGTGAGGGAATGATTTCCCACACGCTCGCTTTTTTTCTTTTCTTAACATAGAAATTGCCAGAATGGATCAGCACCATGGTCAGTCTGGTCTAGAATCCTGTCTCTGTGGCCAGTGACAGTGGCCAGCATTGGGTGCTTCAGAGGAAAGAGCAAGAAATCACCTGACCTCTAGTAGAGACTAGATAAAACCCTGATGCATGAGGGTTAATGTCTCTTCCAAAATGTTTGCTTGCATTAAGTATAGTAACACTGGATATTCTTTGTTCTCATAACAGTATCCAATCCCTGCTGGAATCCCACAAAGTGTTTGGCTTCCACTGCATCATGTGGCAGTGAGTTCCACAGTCTAATTACACAAAAAAAGCATTTCCTTTTGTCAGCTTTGGGTTTGCCACCTTCTCATTTCCATTGAGTGTCCCCTTGCTGTTGCCAGCATCCTGCCCTCACATGTGCAGGCTTGTGCTTTCGGCAGGCTGAGCATGCAGAGATGCACCATACGCCGTAAGCCAACTGAACAAACACGCAACCACCTCCCAGTAGCCCACAAGCTTGCTGCTGACTGCCCAACCTGGGAAATGACGCAGTTGTGGTTTATTTCTAGGATCCACCAATCCATTCCAGGAAATTCCAGTTATATACACAAGGAAAAAATAGCCCGATTCCCAGAGGTCCTTGGGCTCTCCGCACGAGTAGGGAGGTGAAGCAAGGGCCTCTGAGCCCTTAATGTGTCAAGGCAACTCAACTCTTTGGCTGTGGACCAGGAATTTTTCTTGTGGATTTCCAGCCACAGCCAGGAGATTCTCGGGTGTTAGAAGAGCTTTTAATTTAAACCAGGTGCCTGTGAAAAGCAAACACTCATGAAAGGCAAAACTTGGTCGCTTTCCCTCAACAACAACAACAAAGGGCAATCACGCACATTTCACTGAAATATTTCCCTTGGAACCAGCTCCTCGCTTGAAATGAGCTGCTGAAACCTCATCCATTTGGGCAATCTGCATGACACAAACTACCAATATTTCTGGAGCCAAAAAAATAGTTTAGCCGAGTGCCAGCTGAGACTGCCTGGAGCTGCCGACCGAGAAATCTTACAGTATGGAAAGCACACGGGCTGGCGGAGAACAAAGGAAAACAGTTTTTGTAACATTCCCCCCCACTCTCTCTTTTTGTTGCTGTTGTCTGTAAACGCAGTGCTGCCAGGGAAGGCTGCAATCCTTCTGAGCAGGCGGATGTGGTATAGGGGGATGGCAGGCACTTGGAAATACAGGCAGAAAACGTAGCATCTTGTACTATCCACTGCAGAAAATAAATGTCCCAGTGGTCTCCTCTTCTACCGCCAGGCTAGGGTGCTTGCCCCGCTGGGAAGAGAAGTTGATCACTACAATCATGCAGGAACATGGTTAGAGTTAGTAGGATCCTCTCACTACCCAGTGGGGACTGGCGCTTTCCTCTTCCTCGGAGCTGTGCTAGTAAAACAGTGCTGCCAACCATCATCGAGAGCTATACCTAGAACCACACACCTCCCACGCCCTGGAGTTCTCCTGACTTACCCGGCAATGACAATGAAAAAATCCAGGCGATTCCACGTATCTCCCAGGTAGCACTTCTTCCCGAAAATCCCTAGTGCAATCATCTTGACTATCATCTCCACAGCAAAGAAGGCAAAGATGAAGTCATCAAAGCTCTAGAAAACAAAGCAGCAGCAGGAGGTCAGAAGAAAAACAGCTGCCCCCAGCAGAGTGGCGAGAGAAGGGAGTGAATCCGATGGTGAGAGAACACAGCACACGGTTACATTATGTCATGTCAGATGTCAATCCCCTGACCGGTGACGGAAGAGCCAGTGCACTGTAGACCCAGGGAGAGATGCTATTTTAGCTGTAGAGGACGATAACCCAGACATAGTTCACTACATGTTCTCCAGCAACTGGTACTTTAAAAATCATGCTAAAGTTAGTGCTGGTGAAAGGTATGAAAGGCCTGATCCAAAGGCCATTGGAGTCAATGAGTCTCTTCATTGATCTGAGTGGGGTTTGGATCAGGCCCTGATTAACAGCACTGAGGATTCATGTCACCAAGCAGACACAGCTCATACAGCAGCAGTGCGTTCCCTGCCCCACGTACCTCCACCCTAGTCTACTGGGAAGGAACCAACTTTTTTTGAAGGGGTGGGGGGATCAGAGAGCATTTAAGGCTCTGTCTGCACTGCAAAACTGACTGTTCAAAAACAAAACCCAATTGGTTTCAAGCTGGGCTACGTTGCGCTGGCTTATAGGTGCTCTGCCTGTCACCACTGAGTGTGCCTTGGTGCAGTTAAATCAACGGCTGGCCACTGGTGGCTGAAACCCCCCAATGAAGGCAAGAATTCAACCTCCCCAAGGCATACGGCTGGGAGCAGATACTGACATAGTTGTGATCATGCTAGTTTTCTCTGTGTCTGGCTTTGTAGGTGGAAACAGGGAGTCTCCTTTTGGAGTCCCATGGGTACTTGTGAGCACTAACAACCAGGGGGGCTTTGTGAGCCCCTGCCATGCCCCTCCATTGGAGTAAGATCAGTAAGGTGAATACATGCCCATACCTGGAGAATCCTGCAGCGCGGGGAATCACAGGCCATGTCTTCACAGGGGTGGAACATGCCCAGCGTCACACAGTTGAGGAGAATCACCAACATGCTGAGCCTTTCGAACCAGGTGCACGGGAGGTCCGTTAAGGAAATCAACAGCCCTTTCAAGACACAAGCTGGAAAGGGTCTACTAGAACTAGACACATCATGTTCGCTCATAGATAGAAGGAAGGCAGAGCACCAAGGTAATGAGGAAGGAAAGAAGGAACAGCAGGTTGACCAGAGTTATTACAAACAGGCCTTTTTCTGTCTGACACTCCCCAAGTCTGGTCTCCTTAAAGATGGCCAATCCCTTCCTGACTGCAATCTCTGCTTGAAGTGACCAGCTGGTACGATTACTTCTGCGTGATACAAACTTCTGGCTGGGGAGAGACCACTCAAATTAGACTAAGGACGTCTCATGGGAGCATCACCATCAAGGAAAAACCTCTCAGTGTTACTGAACACATCAGCACTGGCTGGGAGTCCCTGCAGAACTCCCCAAAATTCCTGAGGTTCTGTTCTAATAGGCATTGGGTCTCGTGTGAAACCTGGCATAGATTCTATGGGGGCGGGGGGGGGGGTTCTTCAGTTATTTCGAAGTCACAGTTGGCAACCTGGGTTTTTTCCTTGGACATCTGAGCTCTGAAAAATCTCTTTTTAAATATGCCTTCTTTAAACCTTCTTCCCTAGGGCCCTGAACCAGCAAGGTACGTAAGCAAGTAGCTGTATTTTCCCCACTGAAGTCAATGGGATTGCTCACACATGTAAGGTAAGGCACGTTTGAGCACTTGCTGAATTGTGGCCTAGATTCCTACCTAGCCTTTTACAGGAATCCTATACTTTGTGTATTTATAAAAAGTTTACATAATTCGCTTTAAATTTTGTAGTCCATCATCTCACACAATCTAACACCCTGCAACTTTATTTTGTATAGCGTCTTCTATGCTAGCCATATCCCACCAAAGCTACCATGGGAAAATCTGCCATCATTGTGTTATGCAAGTACCAAAATGGTATCTGGGCATAATCAGTTTCCATTCCTAGCATTTTACAGAAAGGCACTGGAGTAAATAAGCGATTGCACTTTCCATTCTTAGTCCAAATCAGCACTGGCTGGAACATAAACCAACTGCTTAGAAGGAGAGTGTGGGAGTCAACCAAATCCACCCCCCAGACGGCCACATTTTAGAAGAGTTTTAAATATCTGAGCTGCATTGGGAGAGATTTTGAAAGCTGTTATTTTCTAGGACAGGCCAACCGGAGCAGTAGCAGCAGCAACAAAGCCACATAAGGAAGTTTCAAACCTGGTATCGAGCAAAAGGAATTTCTCTGTGTCCCTCTAGTGGACATTTCCAGTGATTTCAAGGCTACTGTGGACATAGCCCATGAAAGCTTAGGCTCAAATAAATTTGTTAGTCTCTAAGGTCCCACAAGTCCTCCTGTTCTTTTTGTGGACATAAAGATGATAAAGAAGGGGACCAATTCAATGCACTTTAGCTTTACCACTCAACCTAGCGCCAGACTCACCTGCCTCAACCTTGGGTTTGGCTTCAGCTTCATTTGAAGGACATTTGTAAAGCCTCAGTCTCCAGCCACAAGAGAAAGAGCGACGAGTCTGATCGAGACACTTAACCTTGCATCCAGAATGTTTCGAGATCTCATTTGTTTCCCTTGTCACAGCTTGGCAGCCGCACGGCCTTTTGTTTGGCTCTGGCACATTCTTGAGGTGTCTGACCATAACTGTTCCTTAGTGCGGCACTAAAGAGCAAAGATATCTCTCTGGCAGGGTTTATAATATAGCTGCACTGCAGGATCTTTGCAGTGTTTACCACTGGGGTCCCAGCATGGCTCTGAAGTGACTAAATAGCTTTGGGACAGGCTGACTGGATGGCAGAGCTATAGAACACAGGCTTGGCCACACACAGCTTTTCCATGGGCAATAAAAGCTCCATAAGCCACACCCCAGTGAACTGAAACATAGTGGAGCAGAGGTGGGATATGTCCCCCAGCTGGGCAGTCAGCTGAAGAGGAAAACAGACAGAGAAGGTGCCCAACAGGCCAGCCAAAGAGAGGGGAAGAAAGAAACTACATGAAGCACGTAGATTTCTGTGTAGAAGCCCTTGTACGTAACACCCAGGCTGCACACACACACAAAAAAAGTTCAGCAATGCAACCAGGGGCCGCCCTCATCTTAGACAGTGAGACAATCCATGGAGACTACAGATCCCATCATGCACTCTGCCACCTCGATCCACTCAATCAAATGAAGATGATGCATTGCAGTAGTCTCCATGGGTCACATCTCTGTGTCAAAGACGACAGCAGCTTCCATCCACTCCATTGTATACAATGGAAGCATGGCCTTTGGGAATTCGAAACACTTCCAACGCAGGCCGAGCTGGACAAAGTTTGTGAGCCCCTACTATATTGTTATTCGCCATAAAAGGTTAGAAATGAAGACGACCTGACAGGTGTCTCAGTGGGTGATGGGACAGGGACCTTGGGGCATTCCTCTCTTGTGGACTTTCCTACATAGATTCCTGTTTAATCACAGGCAGAGGAGTCAGTATTTGTTTAGCTGGCAACCTGGATCTTTTATTCTGAAAAAGTGTTTACACGGTATTGGAACAGAAATTCCAACTGTCAGGTTGTGGTTACAGCCTGGAATATTTATCCCAAATATAGTCTATGGGGGCATGCATACATGGCCTAGCAAAGGAGGGGCAGAACTCTCCGAGAGATGGCAAGAGATGTTCCCTGCATTTGGCCAGCATCCATCTGTGGAACCAGGGGCTTCCACAGCTCTGCCAGTGATGAACTGCAAAGCCTTAAAGAAAATGAAGAATAAAAAAGACTGTTTAAGATCCCAGGTCAGCAATAGAATGTGTGTCAGCCAAGAGTTGTGCAAAATATTCAGCGCCGAACCGAGTGCACTTAGAATTAACCTACTTAGTGATATAAGAGCAGACACACGAAAGCTTCCACGAACAGGCCGTGTGTCATGTAAATTCTTCCAGGACCATGGAAAATGCAAAAGGCAGGTGTAATTCTCCTCACGCTGTCTATTGTCAATGGAAATTGGGAGGTAGAAGGTGGTGCTGCTTTCGCTAGAAGTTCCTTGGCGCATGTACATGGTATCATCTGGTTCCCCGGCTGGCTGAGCACAGAGGCTCCTTTCGTGCAGACAGGCTATCGCTGCAGCGTGTGCCCTCTCCTGCTTTGTGCCATTTCCAGGTTGTTTCTTCCCCAGGGGTCGGAGCCCCAGGGCTCCCTAATGCCCACTTGCCAGGGCCAGTGCGAGGTGTGTCTGTTGTAGATGCCTGGCAGCAGCAGCAAGGGATGACCTGTGTGGCTCCTCGCTGCAGTGTGAAGGAGGAAGGGCACTCACTATCCCCACAATACCATTGTGGGATGGGGGAGGAGGGAAAACAATGGCCTTGTCACATGACCTCCCCTAAAGATACCCAAGGATGGACGGTTGGGTAGTTAAGGCACTGGATGCGGGACTCAGGAGATCTAGGTTCAATCCCTGATACAGACTTCCTGTCTGACCTTGGGAACGTTATTTAATCTCTGTGCCTCAGTTCCCCCATTGGCAAAATGGGACATTACTACTTTGTCTATTTAGATTGTAAGCTCTTTGCGACGGGGACGGTCTCTTATTCGGTCTATGGGCAGCACCTTGCCCAACAGGGCCCCGAGCTCAGGGAGCACTGCTGCAATACAAATACCAATAACTTACAAAGAATAGTTCCCCTTTTCTTTGTCCAGCCGGAATTGGCCGGCAGCTTCCTACACCCTTCCTCAGCTGATAACCAACAATAGAGTGTGGAAAATTGTGATGGCTTCAAAATGGACTGAGGGGGGGGAGCTTCAGGGCAGAATAGCAGCAGACACCACAGACCAAGCAGTATTAAAAAGGCTTGTCAGGGCTGCAACCCAGGTGGCACTTGACCAGTATGGGCACTGTGCACCTCCAGAGAGATATCACAGGGGTAATGTAGTACAGGTAACTACAGCTGGAAAATGCCTGCACTGCTTACAGTCCCCCCAGCATGGAGAGGTGTCTAGTGTTATTAGGTCTAATATTTAATATAAGCCTTGCACAACTTATCACACCATAAGCAAAGTATTTGGGGCCAGAGTCCGATCCCCTTTCTCTCCCTGAGTAGCACTTTTCTCCACGGGAAATCCCAGCAAGTCAACGGAGCTACTCATGGAATAAGAAGTTATTCAATGTGAATAAGGAAACCAGAATCTAGCCTTCAGCAACTGGATTTCGCTGCCTGGAATTCCCCTTCCAGTAGGAAGGTAGACAACGGAGCGACATTGACTAATGCAGGCAATTCTTCAAGGAATAGCACTTGTGTATACTAACTATACGCTACCTGGAAAACTATTCGGATCATCTCTCACATCACAGCTCACGGGGTAATGCACAGTGACTGTAGGTCTGTAGCTTTAGCCAACATGTTGGTTACAGTTACTGCTTGCTACGTAGTCCCATTCAGTCTATGGGTGCGGTCTAAATCAATGTGTTCCTTTTTAGTACCGCCCAAGGGGGCTGCTTAAAGCTTAGGTTCTGCAGGGAAGCCTGCTACATACACCTCTATCTTGATATAACGCTGTCCTCGGGAGCCAAAAAATCTTACTGCGTTATAAGTGAAACCGCGTTATATCGAACTTGCTTTGATCCACCGGAGTGTGCAGCCCTGCCCCCGCCCCCAGAGCACTGCTTTATCGCGTTATATCCAAATTCGTGTTATATCGAGGTAGAGGTGTAGGTAAACTAAGAGCTCAAACCTCTCTCTAATGAGCAGGCCATACATAGCTGGGCCCCTCCTGCCTGCATAACAGCAGGCTGGGTTCTCCTATTAAGACCATGGCAAGGTCACAAGCAGAGCTACCAGGTTTTCACCATGCACAGCTACTCCCCTTGCTGCGTCATGTCAAAGTGTCTTCCCATCGGGCGTGTCATGCACAAGGGACTGATTCCTGAGCGGGGAACACGTGGGGATTTGACATGTAAATCTGATTAAAAAGTCAAATCTGTTTAGTCGAAGAATCACAGCACAGCGAAGGAAT